ATATTCATTTTCCCACCGTGTTTGAAATCTTCTGCACTCACTCGCTATCTTGCGTTTCTTCGGTGCTGCCATTTTGGGGACTGGTGTTAATTGTTTTTCTTTGCTTAATTGTGTTTAGTGAAGAAGCACCTTTTCTGACTGGCTCCATCTAGTGTTGAAACTGAGAAGTGCAACAGACTTGAGCTCAAGCGCCATGTGCGGGCCATATTCAATTATATTTTCAGAACTTTTTGCGGGCCAATAAAAACTGCCCCGCGGGCCGCAGTTGGCCCGCGGGCCGTAGTTTGGACACCCCTGTTCTAGATGATCAAATTTGGTACCAAATTTGGCATTTAAATTCTGGCAACTTCCAAAAAGTCTCAGAGGACGGGGACGTCAGTGTTGGTGGATGTGTTTGTTAAAGCGACTGGGCTCAGTGTCTGGTCTCCACTGGTCCTTATAAAGGTGTTCTGGTTCTAGTGAGAGGAGGTTTCTCCCATACCCATGTTCCAGGAAACTCTGGGTGCATTTGTGTCAGACGCTCTGATTGAGATGTGGACCATGATGGATGGGCTGCTGATGTAGGAGCCATCAATGACCCGGAACTCCACCTAACAGAAGAAACATTAAATTACCACAGAACTCTGGTAAATTAGTAACAAAGGTGTGTATGTGTGTGTGTGAACACTGAACACAAGGCCTTTTCTGCTGTACCAGAATCACTGACTTATGGTCAAATATATTTATCATGATTATTTATAAAATAACGCCAATCAGATTTTAGGTTGGCCACAACAAGTCCTTCTAGCAGGCGTACGGTTACGTCGGTGATTTTAATGCTAACAGTAATATTAATGGTTTCTATAGACGTGATGATGTTATCAAGTTATGGATTTACCTGTGTTTGAAACACAGGGCTCAGGTATAATGTTTGGAGGTATGTACCTCTCACAAGTCAACAGTGTTAGTGTAGCCTCCTGTACCTCCAAGTTTCTGCGCTGTGATTGGCTAGTGTTGGGGGGCTGATAGGCCACCTTCATCTCGTACAGGTCCAACCAGCTAAAAGACCCGATAGACTTGGTGTGGTCATCCAGGTGGGTGATGTAGCCCTCAGCAGGTGGGACGGTGACATTAAAGACCAACTTCTCCCGTGGCGTCTCGTGGTCGTTGGCGTCCAAGGCTGCAGTGGTGAGTGGAGTGAGGATAAACTGATCCACCTCCAGAATAAAGGAGGCCATGAGGGCTGCCTGTGGGGGCTGGTTGGGCATCGCTCCCTGGATCAGTACGGGCAACCAAATAGCCTCCGACTGGGAGAGGGGCAGAAGGGCAGAAAAGACATCAGATCATTTAAAGGCTGCGGGGGGGACAGTGTCGCTCACCATCTCACACAACCTAATCCTGGCCTATTCAAACTGTGGCTCATGGGCCACATGTCGCCTTGACACGACCTTAGAGTGGTCCAGTCAGTTGTCATCTATGAAATTTGCAATTTTTTCTAACTTGAGTCGGATCAGAATCAGACCAGACTGTCATCACTGCAGCATTTTGGAGACTTTTACTGTTTTATCATTCCTGAAACACCTGCACTGTTCCTGTGACGTTTCTTCTTGGCCAAACTGATCCACCTCCAGAATAAAGGAGGCCATGAGGGCTGCCTGTGGGGGCTGGTTGGGCATCGCTCCCTGGATCAGTACGGGCAACCAAATAGCCTCCGACTGGGAGAGGGGCAGAAGGGCAGAAAAGACATCAGATCATTTAAAGGCTGCGGGGGGGACAGTGTCGCTCACCATCTCACACAACCTAATCCTGGCCTATTCAAACTGTGGCTCATGGGCCACATGTCGCCTTGACACGACCTTAGAGTGGTCCAGTCAGTTGTCATCTATGAAATTTGCAATTTTTTCTAACTTGAGTCGGATCAGAATCAGACCAGACTGTCATCACTGCAGCATTTTGGAGACTTTTACTGTTTTATCATTCCTGAAACACCTGCACCGTTCCTGTGACGTTTCTTCTTGGCCTCGTCCAACATGTCAAAATCAACACATCCCGTGCCACTGCTGCTGCTGCTGACTGTGATGACTCCAGTGTCAGTGACACACCCACATAAACAATCAGATGTGTTAGAAAAATACAGGTGTCTTGTAAAAAAGTGCACAATTTAAGGTGTTGTCAGGAAGAGGAGGACTGTTTCGACGTCAGTTGAGACATTCAGAGAGTCCTGTGATTCTCTACCCACAGACACGGCTGAGGAGAGTACACACAAGTGGGATGTCACCTTTTAACTGCCAACAAAGCTGTCAGAGATGTTGATCTGTCTTGGACTGAGTCCACGTCCAACTTCACTTTGACTGAAACCTGCAGATCATCAACTTTCTGTGGAGTTCAACTGTGTTTGTCAGACAAACTCCGACAGTTAGAGTCCTGGACATGTGATGTACCTCCAGTAAAGCCCTCGTGGTCTTTTCCCTCAGCTCCACTCTGATGGGAATGTAGTCAATCTCTGGGGACGGAGGACTGAGGTGCTGGTACTTTAGACCAGAGCTCAGGAAATCCTGGCAGCTGGTTTTGAGGAATCGAACTTCCTTGGTGTCGTGAAGGCAGGGTTTGTTTCCAGGACACAGTGCTGCCGTCCCTCTGCCTGGACAAGTTAAGAACAACGCAGTGTGTGTAAATGTATATGTGCAAATAAAGTGTGGTCGAGCCAACGTGTGTGTGAGGTGTCACACCTTTTCTCTGGGCGGTGTCCTCCTCCCGGACAAGCTGACCCAGAGCGGGAGCGTTGATGTCAGTGGTCAAGAGTCTGACGGTGCAGACTGTGGCGGTCCTGGTCCTGATGTGGAGCACAGAGTTGTTGATGGCGTTGGAAAGAGCGTAGAAGTAAGGAACCACCAGAGGAGCTGTGCCCAGCTCCACCAGGCCAGACCCCGAGTCCACCACCCGCACAGTCACAAACACTTTCTCCACCAGTGTGTCTGAGGACGTGAACCTTAAAACAGAGGTGCAGAACCCAGATATAAGACATGCAAGGTCCAATAACCCTTTGGACTGAAAAGTGAAAAGACTCATGAACATCTGAGAGCTCGTCTGTTGATTCAAACGTTCAGTCGACCTGCCCATGTTTTTGACTGAAGTCTGAATGAAACCAATGTCTGCAGAACTCTGAGGAGATGATCCAGGGCAGGGCTAACACTCCGAGGTTTAAACTCAGATGTTGATTCTTGACCAACCTGTAGACTCTCAGCATCACTGTGTCCTGGTCCAATAAGGGACTGCCGTTGTGGACGTACTTGACTTCATCCTGGAGGAAGCTGCAGTCGAACACCTGCGAATGAATTTCCCAGTCAGACCAAACTGCAGTGTTCACTGAGGGAAACCCTGACAGAGGTGTGTCCTCACCTGGGGGGTCAGCTTCCCCACCCTCTGTGTAACAGGTTCGTTCGTCACCACCTCCACCTTGCAGTCAGCTGTAGGTTCCACGCTGATCTTCAGCTCCTTCTCTGTGACGAACACTGAGCGCCCCCTGGCGACCTCTATGCCCGAGTTAACCACCACTAACCCCCCGCTGCAGACGGTGGTCACCGACAGCAGCCACAGGATCGCAGCTGCTGCCATTTGTGATTGGCAGACTCAGATAAGAAACTAGGGGGCGTGGTCTGTCTGTCTGTGGTCTCAGTGGTGAAGTAGTCTCTGTCAGTCTGTCTTCACCAACATCTTCAGCTCTCACTGGACACTGAGCTCTGAAGGACAGGACAAACACACACTGACATGTTAATGTGAAGTACAGTTGGCTGAAAACCAGACTTCATCTTACCGCTGGTCCTGGACCAGTGGATTTGTGATGCACCAGTGAGATATACAGTTCTACAGCCTACAAAGATCTCTTCTGTCTTTAACCTGTCTGTGAAACAGCAGGAGAGTGGAGAGGTCATGAGATCAAAACCGAGAGTCTGGTTCTATTTCTAGAACTATAGTTTATGTTTCTTTGTACTACAGTGGTAGAGAACATGACTTGTCAACACCGTCAACAACTAGGACTTGTTTGTGGTATGTAGTCGATTGGCTAATGTTCCTTCAACCCCCCCCTCCTCCCGCCTCCCCAAAACATCACCTAAACAGAAGGGAAACTGCAGGAAACAGAGGTTAATCTCGGTGACCCCACAAAGGTGCCGGAGGTGTTGTGGGACAGGGGGCGCAGCGGGGCGGGGGTGTTTTTTAGGACGACTCAAAGCAGAGACCGGATCTGCTGCGTCACTTCATATTAATGATCACTGCGTCCTCAGGTTTCAGCTTCAGCCGAGTGTAGGACGAAGGTTTGTCTAGGTGGAGGCTGAAGACTTGTAAATACCCCTGAACCTGCACCACTGTGAACCACTAAGCTAGTTTAGCTAGTTTAGCTAGTTTAGCTAGCTTAGTGAAGCTAGTGTCACACACTCTTTAGATCAAGAAAACTCAAATGAAAATCATCCCCTTATGCCGCATCACCCTCAGAGTTGTTTATTTTGAGCTCACCTGAATCTCCTGACCTCTGACCTCTGTCTGAATATTGATTCATACACAGCTGCAGTGTGGAAGTGAGTCACTGCTGCTGTGAGGTGAGCGGCTCAGGATGAAGGAGGATAATGAGGTTCAGACCCGACCACAGTCAGACCCACACGGGCCTTTGAAGACGGAGACGTTGACTCTTACTCTGTAGTGAAGACGTGAGAAAAACGTGTCTTTGTCCTCTAGTTGTTAAAACCATGTCTCAAATAAATGATAAAAAGATTATGGGGTTTATGGCCTTTGGAGTCAGTGTGTTCAGGTTTGGTGAGTCCTTTGCTAATGTTAATAAAGAAATATATTTTCATTGATCTAATATATTGCGCTGTCTCTCATCTGTCTGTGTTCAGACCAACATCCTCCATGTTGGTCTGCAGCAGCAGCAGGTTCGTAGCTGAACAAACTGCAACCCAACACTGCAGGGAAAGTTTCCACTGAGCTCCTGCTGCTGCAGTCACATCCTCAAGCACACTTCCACCAACAAGCAGTCGTCTGGTTGAACGCAGAAAGAGGCCGAACAGCAGGAAGAAGGAAATCGTTGGCAAATATTACTTTAATCTGAGCCTGTTTTTATCTGGAGGCCTGTGGAAGGTTCCGTACTGTTCTGTACCGAACTGTTCTGTTCTGTACGTGTTGGCATGTGTGTGAAAGTTGGATGTTCCTTACCTCCAGTCGTTGGGAGTCTGTGTGCGTCTTCTTCACCTTCTCCAGCTGCTCAGAGGAATGCTGTCACACACTCAGTCTTCACACTCACTCTCTGCCACCAACCCCCCAGTTCAGCAGCTCAGCCTCACCCCCAGATGTCTGGCATCCAACAACAGAGAGGGAGAGAGAGAGAGAGGGGGAGAGAGAGAGAGGGCGAGTCAGAGGGAGTAAACTAGGAGATGGGGGGGACAAAGAGCCAGCAAGTTTTCCTTCCGTGGTGGAATTCTGAAGCCAAAACCACAGAGAGTGAGAGAGAGAGAGAGAGAGAGATTGAGAAAGAGAGAGAAAGAGAGAGCAGACAGGAAGTGTCCTGTGAATTATCCTGGACTTTTACAGCCCCCCCCCCCCGCTTGTCCTCCTGCCTCCATGTCTTTATTTCCTCTGTAAAAACACATACATGTGAAAATGTCAACTTTGATCCAGAGTACACCTGGTACCCGTCTGTCTCCAGACAACTGGTCTTTGTTGACAGTTTTCCGACAGCAAAAAAAAGACA